TGGATATCCTTGTTGATTTTCTGTCTGGTTGATCTGTCTAGTATTGACAGTGGAGTGTTAAAGTCTCCCACTATTATTGTGTGGGAGTCTAAGTCCTTTTGTAAGTCATTAAGAACTTGCCTTATGTATCTGGGTGCTCCTGCATTGGGTCCATATATGTTTAGGATCGTTAGCTCTTCTTGTTGTATCGATCCTTTTACCATTATGTAATGGCCTTCTTTGTCTCTTTTGATCTTTGTTGCTTTAAAGTCTATTTTATCAGAGATGAGAATTGCAACTCCCGCTTTTTTTTTGCTTTCCATTAGCTTGGTATATCTTCCTCCTTCCCTTTATTTTGAGCCTTTGTGTATCCTTGCATGTGAGATGGGTTTCCTGGATACAGCACACTGATGGGTTTTGGATTTTTATCCAATTTGCCAGTCTGTGTCTTTTGATTGGTGCATTTAGTCCATTTACATTTAGGGTTAATATTGTTATGTGTGAATTTGATACTGCCATTTTGATGCTAAGTGGCCGTTTTGCCTGTTAGTTGTTGTAGATTCTTCATTATGTTGAAGCTCTTTAGCATTTAATGTGATTTTGGAATGGCTGGTACTGGTTGATCCTTTCTATGTGTAGTGCCTCTTTTAGGAGCTCTTGTAAAGCAGGCCTGGTGGTGACAAAATCTCTGAGTACTTGCTTGTTCGCAAAGGATTTTATTTTTCCTTCACTTCTGAAGCTCAGTTTGGCTGGATATGAAATTCTGGGTTGAAAGTTCTTTTCTTTAAGAATGTTGAATATTGGCCCCCACTCTCTTCTGGCTTGTAGTGTTTCTGCCGAGAGATCTGCTGTGAGTCTGATGGGCTTCCCTTTGTGGGTGACCCGACCTTTCTCTCTGGCTGCCCTTAGTATTCTCTCCTTTATTTCAACCCTGTTGAATCTGACGATTATGTGCCTTGGGGTTGCTCTTCTTGCGGAATATCTTTGTGGTGTTCTCTGTATTTCCTGCAATTGAGTGTTGGCCTGTCTTGCTAGGTGGGGGAAATTTTCCTGGATGATGTCCTGAAGAGTATTTTCCAGCTTGGATTCATTCTCTTCGTCCCCTTCTGGTACACCTATCAAACGTAGGTTAGGTCTTTTCACATAGTCCCACATTTCTTGGAGACTTTGTTCATTTCTTTTTGCGCTTTTTTCTCTGATCTTGGTTTCTCGTTTTATTTCATTGAGTTGGTCTTCGACTTCAGATATTCTTTCTTCTGCTTGGTCAATTCGGCTATTGAAACTTGTGTTTGCTTCGCGAAGTTCTCGTATTGTGTTTTTCAGCTCCTTTAATTCCTTCATATTCCTCTCTAAGTTATCCATTCTTGTTATCATTTCCTCGAATCTTTTTTCAAATCTTTTTTCAAGGTTCTTAGTTTCTTTGCATTGATTTAATACATGATCTTTTAGCTCACAAAAGTTTCTCATTATCCATCTTCTGAAGTCTAATTCCGTCATTTCGTCACAGTCATTCTCCGTCCAGCTTTGTTCCCTGGCTGGTGAGGAGTTTTGGTCCTTTCTAGGAGGCAAGGTGTTCTGGTTTCAGGTGTTTTCCTCCTTTTTGCGCTTGTTTCTTCCCATCTTTGTGGATTTGTCCGCTGGTCGTTTGCGTAGTTGCTGACTTTTCGATTGGGTCTCTGAGTGGACACCCAGAGTGTTGATGATGAAGTATTTCTGTTGCTTGGTTTTCCTTTTGCCAGTCTAGCCCCTTTGCTGTACGACTGCTGAGGTCCACTCCAGACCCTGCTTGTCTGGGGTGCACCTCTAGCAGCTGTGGCACAGCGAGGGATGCTACCAGTTTCTTTTTCTGCTATCTTTGTCCCAGGATGATGCCTGCCTAATGTCAGTCTTTTGGATATAGAGGGGTCAGGGAGCTGCTTGAGGAGACAGTTTGTACTTTATACGGGCTTAATTGCTGAGCTGTGCGCTCTGTTGTTCCTTCAGGGCTGTTAGGCTGCTATGTTTGATTCTGCTGCAACAGAGCTCATTAAAAAACCCTTTTTTTTTTTTTTTCTCAAATGCTCTGTGTTGAGGGGTTTGGGCTTTATTTTTGGATGTTCGATGTGGTGTCCTGCCAAGCTAGAAGGCAGACTAGCCACTGTTTGGCTGCCGAGGCTCCGCCCTGCTGTTGTGTGATTCGCCCTGTTCCTGCAGGCTCTGCTGTGGTCTCCCCCACGCCCTGCGGCGGAGTCTCTTGGTTGTAGTGTGTTGCCTCAGCAACGGCTGGCCGTGTCAGCAGTGGGCGTGTATCTCAGTTGGGGCGGGTTGCCTCGGCAACGGCTGGCTGCGTCAGCAGTGGGCGTGTATCTCAGTTGGGGCAGGTTGCCTCGGTAGTGGTGGACGCCCCTCCCCCACAGAGCGTCTCAGACCGTCTGCTCGGGATAGTTTGAAATCGCGGTTTTGTTCGTCCCACTGGGTATCCCAAACTATCTGTCCCTGCAATCCCCTGGGCTGGGCTACTGTCTAAGTCTCGTTCAGTCTCAAGTCCAGCCCTCTCAAGTCTCAGGTTGCCGGTTCAACAGGGCACCCGGACACGTGCGCCCTGTGGGGATTGCTGGGTAGGGCCGGCCGCCGACACCCCGGCTGCCGGCTTCGCCAGGCAGACCTACTCCCTGGCGTCCCATGTCTTTTTATACTTGGGAGTTTCCTCGTTCTGTGGGCAACAAAGATCAGTCTGTAAATGCAGCTCAGACTCACCGTTTGCTGATTCAACGCGAGCTCCAATCCTGGGTTATTCTCACAGCGCCATCTTGAGTCCTCCCCTCTCAAGATCATTCTTCTTCAAGTGAAGCAACTGTTCTTCCTATAACTGTTCTCTGTAGTGTGGGATTTCAAGTTCCTCTGTTGATCTGGGCACTCTGTTTTAAAAGCTTTACTTATTTAAGTGTTTCTCTTAATTTTTTTTTCCTCCAATAGTCAGGAATAGTCTTCCAGATGGGGAACGATCAACACAGAAAGAGCAGAACTAATAACTTTTTTTTTTTTGAGACAGAGTTCTGCTCTTGTTACCCAGGCTGGAGGGCAATGGCGCAATCTCGGCTCACCCCAACCTCCGCCTCCTGGGTTCAGGCAATTCTCCTGCCTCAGCCTCCTGAGTAGCTGGGATTACAGGCATGTGCCACCATGCCCAGCTATTTTTTTGTATTTTTAGTAGAGATGGGGTTTCACCATGTTGTCCAGGATGGTCTCAATCTCTTGACCTTGTGATCCACCCGCCTCAGCCTCCCAAAGTGCTGGGATTACAGGCTTGAGCCATTGTGCCCGGCCCACTAATAACCTTTTTTATTGTAGACGTAGACCTTCTGTTCAAGAAAATTTCATTTATCTTTTGGGAAGACCAACCTATGCTTAGTCACTCTTTTTGCCAAAAATTACATAGTGATGATTAATTTATAATGAAATTTAAATGAGAAAAAGTATTTAAATGTTATTAGTTTCTGGAAGAAATTCATGTTGACATGAGAATTTCAGGCATCAGTAGTTGAAATTGGAATGGAAAAGGGGTGGGAAAAACTCATGAATTGCCATAACTCTTCGAATCACATATCTGCTTTGCTTCCTATTCATAATGCTAGCACTATCAATTAAGTCAAAAATGGTGGGCAGACTAAGTCCATATCTGGGAATCCTTTGATCCCTTTCTTCCTCTTTATGAGATCCATAAGCTTAACAAATATTTGTGTCCTGGTTACACACACACTCACAAAAAGGATTCTAATGTAAGAAACCCAAATATTTGTTAATTTGCTCTCAAGTTGCTGTGTAAGCCAGCGAACTGAGGCTGTATAAGCCCATGAATTGAATAAATCAGGCAACTACTTTAGTCCCCTCACTGAAAGGTATTGTGTAAGCCAGTGAATTCAGGGAGAACAAGAGTTTACCATGTTCGTTTGGGTGGCACAGTGGGTTCACTTGAATTCGTTCTCAACTTCCTATTCCCAGAAGCACAGCTAGAAGTGAACCCAGTTTAAGAAAGTTGGAGTGAAGCTTAGGGGGTCAGTCAGAGAAGCTGCAGCCCCATGTTAGATGGATATCCTAAATTAGGGACATGTTGAGCTCTGCCCTCATCTGTAGTCACTTATGGACTCATCAGGAAAAATGATTACTCAGAAAATAATGCATAACATTCTCTTCTATTTATATATTTTAAGGTTTGAAATGAAGATATGGCATATACATGAAGATTCCAGGACAAAGGAATTTACAATTTTGAATTCTAAAATGTAATAAGAAATAAATGAGGACTCATTATAAATCTAATCATATGTCACTCTTTTTTTCTAAAAACATCTGACTCTGTGACCATGGGCCCATGAACATTGGAAAAGAAAACTGGCCCATGCCTTGTGATTTTGCATATCAGCAAAGGAGTCTGACATTTCTTCTCTTGGCAACACACAGTCCTACAGCCAGCCCTCTTTGACCATCTTCCACCCCAATTAAGGAAGCTTAAAAATTTTGACTAATTTAGGACAGGGCTAGAAGCCCTAGTACCATACCCACAGAGCTTCTTAGCTCCCTTGTATTAGTAAAGCTAAAACTGAAAATTTTATTACCTTCTTAGCCTCAGAAAGGTACAGTCTAATGGATTCAGGTATAATCCTAGCTTCCTTTGGTTACCAAAAGGGAGGAGATGCAGGGTTATAGATAGTTTGAAGCTACCTGCCACACAACTGAGAAAATAAACTCAAGAGTCCTTAGAGTAAGGAGGGTCAGCTTCATCATTAAAGTACAACTAATGGTCATGTTTAGCAACTTACCTAAGGGGCTCCTGTCTCAGTATCATGTATTCATCTTCTGAATGTTGTAATGCTAATAGACATGGAATTTATTTCTTTATTTTAGAATGAAAGGAAGACTGCATGATTGGTATGCTATGTTGAATAATCAGGAATGCTTTCGGATTAGTTGCTTTATCTAAACAAAGTCAGAAATACTTGTTTCCTAATTTCCTTACAGAAAATCTTTTATTTCTCCATCAGGTTGTTTGGTTTTTACAAGGGAATTCTGCCACCTATCTTGGCTGAAACACCAAAAAGAGCAGTGAAGGTAAGCCTTGCATGTGTTCCCACCAAGCAAAAGCATAGTGCAGTAACAGCTTCAGTACAACAAACTCTAAGACATTAAAATGAATTAAATATAAAGCACTAAAAATCTTAATGCAGAAATTATAGCATCTTTTTTTAATAATTAGACTTGGTCAGTCTCTCCAATATGTAGATCAATTTGTAGATATTTTTTAATCAGGTAAAAGCATTCCATTTAATGGGGAAATTATTCAAAAAGCAACATGGTGAAGGAAATGCTAGTAAACCACAAAATAGCTTGGACCTTTCTTCAAAGCAACTCAGAAATTTTCCTTTGGAGAAATAACTTTTTTTTATTTTTTTTATTTTTTTTATTGAGACGGAGTTTCGCTTTTGTTACCCAGGCTAGAGTACAATGGCACGATCTCGGCTCACCGCAACCTCTGCCTCCTGGGTTCAGGCAATTCTCCTGCCTCAGCCTCCTGCGTAGCTGTGATTACAGGCATGCGCTACCATGCCCAGCTAATTTTTTGTATTTTTAGTAGAGACGGGGTTTCATCATGTTGACCAGGATGGTCTCGATCTCTTGACCTTGTGATCCACCCGCCTTGGCCTTCCAAAGTGCTGGGATTACAGGCGTGAGCCAACCTGCCCGGCCCTGGAGAAATAATTATTAAAGAAAGAGAGAGGTAGGGAAGAGGAAAGAGGAGAGGAAGAAAAACCTTTCTCCCTAAATCATTCCCATTTTATTATCAGAGTAAAGCAATATACTATATTTATTTATATGTGATTCTCACATAGTGTATTTATTTGGCATGCCAACTTCATTTTACCCCTTAGTCTTCTCTGTTAAACTTTTCTATTCTGGTTCTTACAAAAATTATTACTTCCAGTACCCTGATTTCCATTTACTTAACCACATGACTGTAGAGGTTTATATACTATTTGCTAGTTCAGTATCTAAAGAGGAACAGGGAGATCTGGCAGAACATCCAGGGGCACAAGAACTCAATCTGACTACCGTCTTCTCTCAGACAAAAGTCCTGATCATAGAGACTCTGACAGTCATTGCTTCCCTCCCCCACACCACTGACATCACCAAATAAGGCTTCATCCTTCCATAATAATAACCTAAACTTAAAGACTTCCTTTCCAAGCAATATAAGGCTTTTTTTTCACATCCATTACTCAGTTTATATTCCCAGTAGTCCTGAAAGGCAAGAGGGAACGGCTCATATACTTTTGCTAAGTAAGTTCAAGAGGGTAACTGGTTTGAAATTATGATAAAATCACCCACATATACACACAAACATCCAACCTTTATATTATGTCAAAATGGCAATTTAATAGGATTGAATTCAAGTCTAGAATTTGGAAAACAAAGCTTTAGAACATCCTTTCTCTATAAATTTATCCTCTTTGTTGGTATAGGTTTTGTGATTTTATAATATCACTTCAATACAAATTTCATTATAAGGATCTGAATCACAGTAGAGGATCTGGAAGAAGTTCACCAAAGTACACAAAAGAGCTGAATTGAATTATGAAATGGCTTTACTTGATAAAAGATTGCCCAAGTAAACAAACAGAGCAAAGTTCCTGTTCAAAAGGAAAGTTGCTTTATCTACATGGAATAATATATTCATCTGTTCAGTGATTTACATGTGTAAACAAAGTAAATTACAATTAGAGCTTTTCCTGGAAGATTTTTTTTTAATATCATATGTTGGAGACAATTTAAACTTTAAGAAGATTAAGACATCAACATTGAACAATTTTTTACAGAAAAAAAAAGTTTAGCTTTATAAAATGCTAGTCTCTATTTTACAAAAGCAATGCTCTCTGCCAGAACAATGGTTAACAGAGGAACTTTTGGGCAACTGGATATGGTGTATGTGTCCCAGACATCTTGTTTCAAGTAGATTTTACCTTAAAATTATTGAGACATATGGTAAGTATGTTGGCTTTTTAAGTATAACTTGGAGTTAAATGTATTTTTGCCAGATGGATAGCCTAGTTTTTCAACACGATTTATGAAAACATTCATTTTATAGATATTTATCTTAGGATTTGTGAGGAAAGCAATCACCTGATTGTAACGATTTCATACATCATAAACTGCTTCATTGTATGTCATCAAAGTTTACTTCAGAAAAAAAATATTCAGAGACTGTGGGGTATATCTGTGTGTGTGTGTGTGTGTATGTGTGTGTGTGTGTGTGTGTGTGTGTGTGTTCTTTGGTACTGACACTTTAGTTAAAATCATTACCATAATCAGAAACAATTTTAAGTTTTTATGTACTTTATTCTTTGAATTAAGCTTTATCATTAAAATAATAAGACTAACTGATGCTAAGTGAATGAAACTTCTCCCTTCACAAATTAGACAGAATTAGTATTGTAGTTAGCGAAAGGGAATGAAGACTTGAGAGAGATCAGCTGATCCCTCAGAGATGAGTGACACCATGGTTCAGGCTTCAGGGTCCAGTCTTGAGCTTCACACATGCAGAAATACCACTTTTCCCATGTTCAGTTTCTCAAGGACTGCCTTATGCTAACTAAATTCACAAGAGATTATAAACTGTGAAGGCTCTGTGTTCACTGCAGTATACTGATACCAATCATAGTATTTACACATAGTAGATTTCAGTTGATATTGGATGAATAAAGGAAACATATATAAAAAGAAACAAAGAAATATATATAGAGAGAAAATTCCCACATCTACTGTTCAGAGTCTCTGGAGGGCCAAGACTTCCACTCATGGTGGAGATAGAGTATCAGGGACCAGTATGAAATAACAGTTTTCAAGACACTGGACACATCAGATGATGAAGGCTGGAAATACCTGAGAAATGGAAAACAAATGAGATGAGCCCTGTGATGCCACAGCGCCCTGCCTGGGGTTACATTCCAGGCCCTGGGGCAGAGAGGGGAAACCAAGGCAGAGCCTGGGGGACTCCCTGGGTTGAGAAGGAGCTGAAAGGCAGGGGAGAGCAGGGAAGCCAGGGTCCACAGGACAGAGTACCTGCACAAAGGAACGGGGAAGAGCAGGCTGCACAGAGAACTCCTGAGGTCTGCAGGGGGACCCACCAAGTGTTCAGCTGAGTATTGACCAGTACATGCCTATGAGGAAACTACCAATGCCTGGGAAAGAACCGTCCAAAAGGCTTCAAGGGAACAGCACTCAGCAGTCACATGGGGCTGGGAATAGTGCCTGTTCCCACCAGCTAGACTGGAAAGCTTCAGCAGTCCCAGGGCATTGAGAGAAGTGCTCATACACTTAAGGCATCTATGACTCCTTTGGTAACCTAAGTGAAGACAGAGAATAAAAACTAAGATTTTTCAACAGTCTCACTTGTGCCAGTCCTGTCAGGGAATCTTACTTAAATTATCTTATTTAATGACAACTCTAAAAGGTAAGTTTTGTGTTCTTGAGAGTTAGAAAGGTTAAGTAACTTTCCTGTGCTTTCACAGCTAATTAGCATAACCTGGAATCAGCTCTAGGACTGCTCACTTCAAAATGCTAGCAAGGTGATTGTCAAAGTGATGATGATGACCATCAAATAAATGAAGAAAAATAAATTATTTTAAAAACCTAAGATTATAACACTTTTCCTTCCATGGTTAATGGTTTCTAATGCATATTTCTTCAAAAAACTGGTGGTCCCTGGTGAGTACTATTTTAACACTAGGATAGTTTCAGGGCTTTTACGAGCCACTAGAATGTTAGCTCAAGTAGAAAGAGGTTTCTCTTTTTTACTGAGGTCTCTAATAATATTATTGAATGAGTGAATTAAATGAATCCTGGTTCTAGAAACTCTACATTCATAGTGCATTTAAAAGACCATGGCACAAAAGTAGTTCCTGAGTGTTGAAAAGAATCAAAATGTATCTGGTAGTAAAATGATTCTTGGGCTGCCCAAACACTCATTAAAGCTGTCTATAAGGAGCTACTTCTTCTAACAGCAAAGTATTTTTTGCTCTGAAATCAGATTTTGCGTTCTTTCCCCATTTTGCTGGGCTATAAGGTAATAGAGTAGAAAATACTGTGGACCATATAATACCCATACCATTTTTGAAGTCTTGAGAATCAGTATCTAGCAGGGCCTAAAAACATGCCTTATCAGTGGTGTTAACAGCTCCTGAGTACCCAGGAGCAAAACATGTTCAAGCAGAGTTGCTGCTCAAAAAGTAGAATACAAAAGAAAGAAGGGGAAAAATGTATTATAGGAAGCAATTGATTAGATTTGCCTCCACTGAAATTTGTTTGCAGAGAAAATTATACTAAACATCATCTACTGAAGAAACTAACAATACATTCATCTGATAAATCATCACCATCATCTTTATCACCATCAGTTTTGAAGGAAGGAATTAGCAGCTCTTTCTTCATTCAGGCTGAAGACAGCCTCTTATGGCAGGGAATGGTCTAGACAACCTCATTGGGTCTTTCCCTAGTTTATCATGGCATCTTCATAATTATTTAGTGTTTTCAGTTCCATGGAGCAGTGAGGAGACACCACAATAGAAATGCAAGTTAAGGCTGAAAAGTGGATGTCTTTTTACAAGTGTGTTAGAAAATTGGACTTTCACTGGGAAAGCAGTTCATAGAGAAAACAGAGGAGACGAAAGCTGTCAGGTATCTAGGCCTATAATGTTGAATCACTGCCATAAGAGAGAAGTCTATTGATGTCTGGGGAAACTGAAAATGGTCATGGTAAATGGAAGCTGTATGGTTCATTTACTGCTCTAAAGGATTTCATCAGCTCTTCTGTAGGTTATAACTGCATTTGAAACTGTGAATGTTAAAGAAAGATCCAATAGCAACTACCTGAGACAGGATTAAAAACTGTATTAGATAGTTTGTCATTTTTTGAAATGCTGGTTAATGTAATGATTTACTAAAGAAATTTGAGTCAATTAAACAGTTTGTTGCAGGAAATTGTTATAAATCTGTGGGTTTGGTTTTGTTTCACAGTTTTTCACCTTTGAGCAGTACAAGAAATTGCTAGGATATGTGTCACTGTCACCAGCATTGGTAAGTGAGAGTATTTATTATACTTAAATGTGTGTGTTATTTCTTACAGCAAAATCTAGTAACAAAAACTCTTTTGATTCCCCAAGCCCAGCTACTAAAATATGAATTTGAGTTATTCAACGTTCAGCTACTTGTTGAAAGCCATCTTCCTAATAACTCACAATTTGGCTATTTTATAGCTCCCAGTGATGAATTTATGATAATAATGATATGTCTAGAAAGGCCCCATATGAGATATGGTCAAGAATATTAAATAAAGAGTATGTTTATCAAAGACCCTTTTTAAACCAAGACATGTATATGTTTACATACATACTGCACATACCTATTTATGAAAAAGTCAATATGCCAAACAGGTCAGTTTTCCAGCTTTTGCACCAGCTGTAGTAAATATAAGACTTCAGAGCCCTTGGGATAAAATCACTCTGTGCTTAGATGCAGACTGAAGGGTCTTTTATAAGAACGACTGTAAACAACTCAGCTAGGGAGAATTGTGATATTACAGTGACATATCTCATGTATTACACAAAATTCACTTGGTGATTTGAACATTTACCTACATCATTCCTCTCCTTGGTGACTTTGCTGCTTTTCACAGAAGTTAATTGTATTGAGCAAATGGCTTCTACAAATGTGTGTGCAACAGGAGCCCCCGAGAGAGCAAATGCACTGATGTCTCCCTCCAAGTCTGCAAGACAAAGCGAAACAAAATCTGCATTGGCCCACCAATTGGCAATGTACTCCAACCTCTAGGAAAATGTCCTCATTTTCCTAATAAAATGGACAATGTTTGAGAATATGACAAATAGACTGTCCGAGAAGAAGTATCTGTTATTTTTAAAAAATCATACATGCCCCTTTTCTAGGAAATATCCTGTTAGGGAACCTAATAGCATCACTTTTTGTTATGACAAAGCAATGTCTAATCCAGCTCTTGCCTATACAAGGTGGCTGGGAGGCATGGCCTCCTAGAGAGGAGCAATTATATCGTGAATCTCAAAACTAGCTAAGATTTTTTCTTTTAATTTTTCAGCAACAAATTTGGAAACAGCTTGGCAAAAAGAGGATTAAAACTTTCCTAGTGAGAAACAATAAAATATGATCTCTAGAGGGCCAGCTGGCTATTCTTCTGTCAAACATTGATACCTTGTGAGAGACTGTAGGTCTTTGGACTCTTGAGAATTGAAATAGAAAAGCATTCGGTCATTGAAGCTATCATAACCAAATGCATGCAAACTGTGTACAGTTCTCTTTTCTTGAACTCATTTATTTCAGTGACTTTTTTTGATATGGCTAGACATTTAAACAGCTGTTAAATATCCCCTGGTGCTCTCACATAAAAAGCCTAGGAGACTGGAAACCCAACAGTAAATGTAGGTTTCTGGAACAATCTATGTAACATGATCTCCTGATATCTGATCAATTCTTTTGACAAGGGACTGCTGAACACTAGTTCTGACAGCAAATGTAGCTAAGTTTTATAGAAGAACAAAAAAGGGAATTACTTGGAAGATTGCATATAGTAAGTAATAAAAACCTGGACATCTGGATTTTAGCTTTCCCAGTCAGAAGAATTTGAGACTAGTATTTTTTTTCCACTTTTGGCTTCCAAGATGGAAGTCTGAGATAAATGAATAAAATATTTGGTAAGTTATCCTATACAAATATGTTTAAAATTATAATGAAGGCAGATGAAATGAAACATCATCAGTGAGTCTCTCTCTCCTAGAATCTGTATACAATTTCATTCTTCCTTTTATTATTATTATTACTATTATTATTATTTGAGTTGGAGTCTTGATCTGTTGGCCAGGCTGGAGTGCAGTGGCATGTTCTTGGCTCACTGCAACCTCCATCTCCCAGGTTTAAGCAATTCTCCTTCCTCAGCCTCCCTAGTAGCTGGGATTATGGGCACCACCACCACCAAGCCCAGCTAAATTTTGTATTTTTAGTAGAGACAAGGTTTCACCATGTTGGCCAGCTGATCTTGAACCCCTGACCTCAGGTGATCCACCCACCTTGGCCTCCCAAAGTGCTGAGATTACAGGCATGAGTCACAGTGTCTGGCCATTCTTCCTTTTTCTGTGTGTAACAAGAACAATGGTGTTTACATGGCACTCTATGAAATGGCTTCACACATTATTTTGAGCCTTAAAATAACTGTATGAGCAGGAAAATTAGATATCATTATCTCCATTTTACAGATAAGAAAACTGGCTCATCAGAGATTCAGCAATTTATGCAACAGAGCCACAGCTAGCACCAATAGCACCTTTGTGTGAATAATGAAAAGGTGCCCTTTCTCCTGACTGAAGCCTCTCCAGGGCTTCTCTTAGCAAATGAGGGGCAAGCTGGATTCCAGCCTCCACACATCCTTGGTTGGGCACCTTTGCCTATGCGCAAGCTACTGTGTGTTACAGCTCTAGTCACACAGCCAATAAGTGCTAGAATTGGACCTAAACCCAGAACTCCTGTGTCTGGATCCTGCCTCTGTGCTTCTCTTTCTAATATTATACAACATTCCTTTCTCCTTCTTCCTCTCTTTAAGTCTCCTATTTAGAAGATGGATAATTAATAAGAGTTATCTGTTATTGCTCTTCATTGGTTTTATTCTTCTCTTGGTTGTCTAGAGTACTACCTCTTGTCCTGGAATGGGAGGTTCAGCACTAAATAATTACCTTTTTTCCAGCATCTGTTTTGGAGATTGGGGCTTTATTTCATTTTCTTTTTCTGTCTTGTGTGTGCATCTTTTAATTGTTGTGTTTATTTTTGATGCAGATTTTCTGGAAAAGACATAAGCATTCTACCTAGAGGAAAATTCTAGAAAAATCGTTCTTTCCTATCACAGAAATTCTTAACAGATAGCGAATAAGAACTTGACATACAGTCACCCTTTAATCAGTTTTTTAGATTTTATTTGAGCCCTTCAGAATAACCTAGTCATTTATTGGTCTTTCTTTTTTTTTTTTTTTTTTTTTAATTTGAGACAGGGTCTCACTCTGTCACTCAGGCTGGAGTGCAGTGGTTCTACCATAGCTCACTGCAGCCTTGAACTCTTAGGCTCAAGTGATAATCCCACCTCAGCTCCCGAACAACTGGGACTGTGCCATTCCTGTTCTAGCCATTTCTGATCTAAGCTTTTAGGTTTAGAAGACTATGTCAATTACCTGTGTTTTTTAAAATAGGGAAAAGACAAATAAAAAATAAATTTTGTTTAATAGTCCAGAATGGTGACTCTAAAAACATGACCATAGAGTTAAATGTTGACAGCTATGTTGTTACCCGAATTTAACTTTTTAGAAACATTTTATTTGTGGTTCTGCTCCTTGAATTTCCTGTATGCCCAATAAAGAAATTTAAGTACATGTTTAAAAATGAAGCTCTCCTTTTACAATTCAAATTCTCTTAATTGTTATATTTGCAGATGTTTTAGTATCCACCTTTAAATCAAACTTGCTTTTTGTTAAAGGAAAAAGTTGTTGATGGGGCTTTGACATTTTATTTTGAAATTGTTAGGATGTGGTTTGTGGCTTCTGTAATTTCTTTTTCATGAATTGTCAGCATCTAATCAAGAACTAAAGCTGTTTAGTAATGGTATATGGTGCATTTATGTAGGTTTCTCCATTCTCTTTATAACGTTCAGCTGCACAGTGTAATGAATAGGATGTTTAAATCTGTACACATGATAACTTGTTTTAAAGTACTGATTGATTTAATTTTTCTAGACATTCACCATTGCTGGATTGGGATCTGGACTAACAGAAGCCATCATAGTTAACCCTTTTGAGGTAGTAAAAGTTGGCTTGCAAGCAAATCGGAACACATTTGCAGAGGTAACCATTTAGTGTTTTTCTATTGTTGATGGCATATAAAAACTTTTTTTTTTAATTTTACTTTAGGTGCATGCTATATCTGGCATTTCTCCCCATGTTATCCCTCCCCTCCCTCCCCACCCCCTGCTGTCTCTCCCCTACCCCCACCAACTGCCCCCAGTACATGATGCTCCTCTCCCAGAGTCCACATGTTCTCGTTGTTCAACCCCACCTATGAGTGAGAACATACGGTGTTTGGCTTTCTATTCTTCTAAAACTTTTTTTTTTTGAGACAGAGTTTCGCACCTGTTGCCCAGACTAGAGTGCAATGGTGCCATCTCAGCTCACCACAACCTCTGCCTCCCGGGTTCAAGCGATTCTCCTGCCTCAGCCTCCCAAATAGCTGGGATTACAAGCATGCACCACCACACCTGGCTAATTTTGTATTTTTAGCAGAGACAGGGTTTCTCTATGGGTTGGTCAGGCTGGTCTCAAACTCCTGACCTCAGGTGATCTGACAGCCTCAGCCTCCAAAAGTGCTGGGATTACAGGTGTAAGCCACCATGCCCAGCCATAAAAACTTTTTAAGTATGGATGTGAAACAGTGGACCCAACTTTTATCCACTTATTAAAGCCATAGTAAATCACTATTAAGGGAATAGAGTAAGAAAAAGTCAAATATCTCCTGCAAGTAAAGTGTTAACAAAAATGCATTGAGATCTAATGGACAAACACTTGTTTATTCATTTTTTATTTTAGAGCGCTATCGTAATCTGAAATGACTTATTTAGAAATATTTTCCCAGCTGCTGGCAAAACTTCTTTCACATTGCACTAGAATGGACTATAGCTAAACTACTGAGGTGATAACATTAGTTTGCTTTTTAAAAAATGACCTCACTCCTTTCCCTACTACACCCACCACCCGCCCTGAAGGATTCAGATAATCCGTTAAACTTGTCTTTTGGTTAAATTCAAATGAGCAAGTTACTAAACCTGTTTAGACGTCACCACGTGGACAATGATGGGTCTTGACATTTCATCATTGGCACATGGCGTCTGTGCAGACAGCATTTCTTGGTGTGTGCTGCCTTCACTTCCTTCCAGTTACCTAATAATTCCCTTTCAACTGCCAAGTCCAGCTGCTCTTGTTTTATTCTTTTGGGTGCCAGGCACAAAGTACGGGGAAAACAAGGGAATTGGCATTCCAAATCCCTTCTTAGCATTTTAATTTAATTCCACAACTGGGTAGCATGTGGTAGAAATTGATTTGGAGTATCTGCTGACCTGGATCTTTCTGTAGCAAAGTTTCCCTGCCTACTGCTTAAGCAGCTGCTAATGGGTGGAGACCCCCTCACTCCCACCCCACTTCCCGCCTGCTGATGATGCCTGAGAGCTTCCTGGCAGCTTCTCAGGCAGGGGCATGGCGAAGGTAGGGGGGGTCCTACTCACCTTTAGCTGCCAAGACCTGGGGAGACAGGGTTGGGCTGTTATAGCAGATGGTATCTACTCAGATGAAGTCAATCCTAATTCAGGGGCAATTTTTTTTTTACTTTCAAAAAGATTATCTTAAATACAGTGACATACAGCACTTTATTAAAAAGTTGAAAATCTCTTCTCTGTATTCTAGTTTATTTTCTCTTTATTCTTTCATGAATAAAGGAAAAAGATTGTGAGGAATAGGGGGAAGGGGAAGGAAACATTTTTTAAATGTCTTATCAATATGGAGCATTTAAAATAGTTCCCATGGTATCTGCTTAAGGCAAACTTGGTTTGTTAGACTGGGAGAATTACCAGCTAGAAGAAAATTGCAGAGACCCCTGTCCAGTGTTCCATCTTATTTCTTGGGAAGCTTGACTTGAAGCAGCAGTAAGCAGGCAGAGGAATAAACAGGACTTCAATTGCAGTTCTCTAACTAGGCAACATGTAACCACAAGGACTCATATGGGACAGAGCATCAAAAGACACTCACAGGAATGAAAATCATGAGTTATCAGGGAACCTGGGCTCATGCTAATGTTCTTTTTCTCTCCTTTGCCTTCAAGGAGGTTCTGCACTGAGTTCAAGTAAGAGCTGCTAATGTTTTCAATATGCTAATGACTTGCTAGAACACAATAAACACCCTTCCTGCCCAAAAAAGAATGTGCTGCATGTGTACATGCCACCAGTTCATCACTTACATAAATGCAGTCTGTGTAAATCATGCATATTTAGCCATTTTTAAAAGTGGGGGCCAGCGGGTAGCAGGAGCTTGTTTGGGGTCATTTCTTTTGCATAATCACTGAACTGGACATTATCAGGTATTTACTTACAATAAAATCTATTAGATGCATTATAAGATATTTTTTAAGTTAGTTTAGTTAGAATTTAACGAAGTAGTGATTATGTAGGTCACCTGCATCAGCATTTATTTACAGCAACTAGCAGAATTCAGTAGCTGAAATTAGGCGGTGTTTCGATGTGGCACATTATGGGCAATGTTGATCAAATCGAAGCAATAGGTGCTTTTACTCAACAGACAGTAATGGGATTGTGCCTGTTGTAGAAAATGTCTGAGAAAAAGAGATGACATGGTAAGAATAGAATATTTGGATCTAGTTATTTAGAAAATAACTGCTGATCATTTATGCTAATATCTCATAGGTCTTTTATCTAGGACTCAATAATCCCAAAGCTTTCTTCATTGACTAGCTCCTTCTTTTATCCAACAAGGGAATAGATACCCCTAGGTAACCTGTGCCTGTGTATGGCCAGGAATAATTCTTGCTTTCTTCACTCTAAGGCTTTGTGTTAGCATCTAATCAAGTTGTTAAGTATAAAAGGGAGATGGGGAGAAAAAGGAAGAAGAGGAGGAAGAGAAATTGAAGAAGAAAAGAATTAATTTAATGTCTATTGCCTTTAAAGATTTGACTTAAAAAAATTAATCCAAGCATAAAAGTAATGCATATTTATGTTAAAAGCACCAAAAATATACACGTATTTCTTAAATATGTATGTATAAGTGCACTAAAAATCTAGACTCTAGAGCAGCAGTGCTGTCTAATAGAAATATGTGAGCTACATTTTTAGTAGCTGCATTTAAAAAAAATAAACAGGTGAAATTAATTTAATAATGAATTTTATTTAACCCAGTATATTCATTTTTCTGAAGACAATTTTTAGAGCAATTTTAGGTACACAGCAAAATTGAGCAAAAGGTAAAGGCTTCATATGAACCCCATTCCCCTACACATGCATATACACGCATCATCTTCCCCATGATTAACATCCCCCATCAGAGCAGTCCATTTGTTTCCATTGATGAACCTACATTAACACATCATTATCACCCAAGTCCATAGTTTACATTAGGGCTCACTCTTGGTGCTGTACCTTCTATGAGTTTGAACAAATGTGTAATGACATATATTTACCATTATAATATCATACAGAGTAATTTCACTGCCCTAAAAATCCTCCATGTTCTGCCTATTCATCCCTCCCCACCCAGCTTAATCCCTGGCAACCACTGATCTTTTTACTGATTCCATAATTTTTCTTTTTTTGGGGGGGAGGGAAGGAGGAAGGGAGGAAGGCAGGAAGGGAGGGAAGGAGGAAGGGTGGGAGGAAGGAAGGGAGGAAGGGGGGAGGGAGGGAGGGAGGGAGGGATGGGAGAGAAGGAAGGAATTCAAGTGATGAGAGAGACATTGCCGACCTGGATCTAGAGGTTTACAAGTTGATTTCTTTTTTTGAGAGAAGGAAAGAAAAAAAATGAGTAAAGGAGAGAAAGAAAGAGGAAGAGAGAGAGGGAGGGTGAACGGAAATATTGCTTTATTCGAAAAAAAATGGGTATTAATAATGGCCAATCAATGTTTCATTTAAACCTATGAGTAGGTGTGATGTGGTATTGACAAGAATGTATATTTTATGTATTTGAAGTGGAGAGCTCTATAAATATTTATTAAGTTTACTTGTTCTGGATCTGAGTTCGAGTCCTTCATATCCTTATTAATTTTCTGTCTCATTGAATGTAAGTCTCTATGTATCTGGGTGTTAGGATCGTTAGCTCTTGTTGTTGTATTGATCCTTTTATCACTATATCTTTGTTGCTTTAAAATCTATTTTATCCGCTTCGAGAATTGCAACTCCTGCTTTTTTAAATTTATTTATTTATTTATTTATTTATTTATTTATTTATTTATTTTTGCTCTCCATTTGGTTGGTAAATCTTTCTCCATCCCTTTGTTTTGAGTCTTTTGTGTATCCTCGCATGTGAAACAGGTCTGGATGTAACATGCCTTTGGGTTTTGGCTGTGTCTTTTGATTGGGGGATTTAGTCGATTTAAATTTAGGGTTACTGCCACTTGATGTTAACTGGCTGTTTGATCCATTCATTGATGAAAATTCTTCTTTATGTTGGTGCTCTTTACTTTTTGGTATATTTTTAATAAGGCTAATACTGGTTGTTTCTTTCTGTGTGTAATGCCTCTTTCAGAAGCTCTTGTAAAGCAGGCCTGGTGGTATAAAATCTCTGAGTACTGGCTTGTTCATAAAAGATTTTATTTTTCCTTCAGTTGTGAAGCTTAGTTTGGCTGGATATGAAATTCTGGGCTGAAGGTTCTGTTCTTTGAGGATGTTGAATATTGGCCCCCACTCTCTTCTGGCTTGTAGAGTTTCTGCTGAGAGATCTGTTGTAAGTCTGATAGGCTTGCCTTTGTGGGTAACCTGACCCTTCTCTCTGGCTGCCCTTAGTATTTTCTCCTTCGTTTCAACCCTGGTGAATCTAACGATTATGTGCCTTGGGGTTGCTCTTCTTGAGGAATATCTTTGTGGTGTTCTCTGTTACCTGGGGTTGAATACTGACCTGCTTTGCTAGTTCAGGAAAATTTTCCTGAATAATATCCTGAAGGGTATTTTCCAGCTTGGATTCATTCTCTCCATCACATTCAGGTACACCTATCAATCGTAAATTTGATCTTTTCACATAGTCCCACATTTCTTGGAGACTTTGCTCATTCCTTTTTATCCTTTTATCTCTAATTT